AAATCCTCCCCCTCTCACCTTAAACTTATGCCCTCTAATTTTGGACTTCACTTTTCTGGGGAAAAAAGCTTCGATATTCACCCACTCCATGCCCTCATGATTTTATAAACCTCTATAAGGTCACCCTTCAGCTTCAGGGAAAATTGCCCCAGACTATTCAGCCTCTCCATGTAGCTCAAACCCTCCATCCCTGGCAACATCCTTGTAAATCTTTTCTGAACCTTTCAAGTTTCACAACATCTTTCTTATAGCAGGGAGACCAGAACTGGTCTTAAGGGATATGGGGCTTATGGAATGAGACCACAGAGGTGACCATGATCTCATTGAACAATCTCAAGGCACTGAATGGCCTACTCCTGTTCCTATGTTCCTCATACAGGGTGTGTGTAAGAGGAGAATTAATTTCATAGCTGCTGCCTTAAAATTTGTGGCCAAAATTTGACATCCCTTTACTACTACACTGGTTCCTTTCAGCTAACACAGAATTACTGAAGTAGGGCCAATTATACTGTCTTCTCACATCAGCTCCTGCAAGTTTTCAAGACAGCATTGTATCATGCACAACAGAGAATTGTATAATATTTGGCTTTAAATACATTTAGGAGACATTTAGTGATTTGGGCTTCAGGCCAAAGAAGGTTTGAGCTACGCCCCTGGATATTCTCACCAGCACCTGGTACGTGAAAAACAAACTCTTCTAGGTGGTCTCTTTTGGACGTGCTCCCGTGAATGCTGTTAGGGAACCCCACTACACACATTCCTGTGCCTTATAATAAAGGAAAAGCAGATGTAATGTCTGCTTCAGTTTGACAAAGTCAAGTGAAGTTTCAGCCAGCATAAGTTGCATAACTTCTCCCTTTCCTCACAGATGAATCTTTAAGGATCGATATTGGCAAAAAGTAAGTTATCTAAGTTAACCTATCCTGACGCACCCCTAATCTACTGCATGTAATAATTTCCACTGCCTAATGATTTTGTGCCACAGTTCATTAAGTAGTCTAATGGATAAATATCATCACCTAATGTTGTACTGAGCTACACCGACTACAAGCCCCAGATGTTTGGTCTGTCCTGACTTGGCAGATCTGAACTAGAATAGCTGCACAGACACTGAAATTGGATTCTGTGCCCCTCAGTGATGGATTGCAAACATCAGCCAGGGTTCCCACACGTAATAATTATTCAGTGATTCCCTTTTCTGATTTCCCAGTTTGGTCTCCTTACCTAAAGTAGAAACGATTTGTCCTGGATGAAGTGCATTGAAGGTTCACAAGACTGATTCCTGGGATGAGGGGAATTATCTGTAAGTACAGTTTGGGGCTTTTAATCAGTGGAGTTTAGATGGTTGAGAAGTGATCTCAATGGAACACATAAAATTCTTAAGAAGCTTGTCAGGGAGCTGTCTGGGGCAATTAAAATACAATCACAGTCTCAGAAGGTAACAGCCATTTAAGACTGAGGAGAAATTTCTTCATGTAAAGGGCTGTGAATCTTTGGAATCTTCCAGCCACAGGGCCATTAGTGCTTAATTTTTGAACATATTCAAGTAAGATTTTGGAGTACAAAGGGAATTAAGGGCTATAGAAATCTGAACAGACATGGGACCACATCCTTGCGGGGAGATCTGCCTATGTTCTCGGGTGGATTTAAACTAGATTAGTAGGGAAATATATTTTAACGCGAGGAGCTTGAGGAGAAAGACAGATGAGCAGAGGGCAGAGATAGGCATGTGGAGGTATGATATCATTGCATATCCTGAATAGGGTATTCAGTCAAGATGGACAGGGGGATAGGTTAAGAGGGATATTGCAATACTGATCAAGGAATCAATGAATAGTAAATCGAGTAAGAGAATAACCATAGAAAGAGTGAGGTTCATTAGGAACCAGGGAGGTAATGCATGTGTGGACTAGAAGACATGGGTACAGTCTTCACAGTCATTTGTGAAAAATGGGACACTTTCAAAAGAGAGATGACTGGCATGCCATCTAGGTAAATACTCATGAGAATTAAATACAGGGTATTCAAAGCTAGAGTATCCTAGATGACTAAAGATATTGATAATAAAGTAAAGAAAGAAAGAGGCAGATGGTGCATACTAGGCTGATAATAGCAACAGAAATCAGGAATAGTATCTCAAACGCAGGAGAGAGCCTAAGGCTGGAATAAGGAAGGCTAAGAGGAAGCCATGCTAAGCAAACAGTAAACTGTTCTTCAAACATATTAATTGTAAAAGATTAGTTAAGAATAGAGTGGGACCCATAAGGAACAAGCAGGGTAAGCTGCTCGCTGAAGCCAAGGGTATGTCGGAGGTACTAAATGAGTACTTTGCTTCGTCTTTAGCAAATTAGAAAATGGCCCAGTCGAAAATGTGGGTGTTGAGCAACTGACTAGTATTGCAATAGATAAAGAAGTGTTAAAAACCTGGCGGCACTCCAGGTTGAGAAATTGCGGGCCCAGATGGGATGTTCCATAAGTTGCTGAGAGAGGTAAGGGAGCAAGTTGTGGAGAAGTTAATAGAAATTTTCTGGGTGTCTTTGAACACAGGATTAGTCCCAGGTGACTGAAGGATCACAAATGTGACACCATTGTTTAAGAAAGGGGCAAAGGATAATCTAGGAAACTACAGACCTGTCAGCTTGACATCAATAATGGGAAAAGTGATGGAGGTCATAGTATGAGATAAATACATATACACTTAGAGAAAAATAAATTAATACTAGACAGTCAACATGCCTTTGTCAAGGGCACGTCATGTCTGACAAATCTAATCGAGTTCTTTAATGAGGTGACACAGGCAGTGGATAAGGGTAGTGCTGTGGATGTTGTACATTTGGGCTTCCAGAAAGTATTTGATACGGTGCCCCATGGCAGATTGGTTAGCGAATTAGAAATGTTTGGGATAGATGTGGCCTAGGCCCATCTCAGATTGAAAACAGTTGAAAATACTGTTCTCTAGGGATCTGTTTTGGGACCCTTGTTTCTTCTTATTTATATAAATGATTTGGAGATGGATGTTGAGGGCAAAACCTCTAAATGTGCAGATGGTGCTAAGCTAGGGAGAATGGTGACTTGCGGGGGTGATGTTGAGCAATTTCAGAGGAACATTGACAAGTTGGCCAAATGGACAAACACCTGGCAGATGAATTTCAATGCAGATGTGAGGTAATACATTTTGGTAGAAACATGAAGAGACAATGCAGGGTCAGTGGCACAACTGTGACGGGAGTACAGGAACAGAGGGACCTTGGGGTTCGAGTGCATAATTCTCTGAAGGTGGCCAGGCAAGTAGAAATGATTATTAAGAAGGCTCATAGGATCCTTGGGTTTATAGATAGAGGCAAAGTGTATAAAAGCAAGGAAACAATGCTACTTTCTGTAATTCATTGGTCAGAGCACATTTGGGGTACTGTGTTCAGTTCTGGGTATTTTATTTAAAGAAGAATGTTAAAGCCCTGGAGAAAGCGCAAAGGAGGTTTCCTGGAATAATTCCAGAAATGAGGGATTTCAGACAAAGGGAAAGATTAGAGAAATTGGCCTTTTCTCCATGGAGCAGAGAAGACTAACAGGTTACCTTACTGAGGTGTTCAAAATTATGAACAATTTCGACAGGGCAAAGGAGAATATTCTGTTTCCACCGTGCTAAGTCTGTGACTAGGGATGATTTCAAGATTGTCAACAAGAGAGCTTGGAGTGACATGAGGATAAACTTCTTTACTCAGGGAGTTGTTAGGATTTGAACTGCACTACCCGGGAGAGTGGTGGAGGTGGATTCTATAGGTTTCAAAGACAACTGGATATATATTGGGAGGGGATGAATTTATAGAGTACGGAGATAGGGCTAAAGAATGGGATGAGCTGGACAGCTCTTTCAGGAGCTGGTGCAGACTCACTGAGTCAAATAGCGTCCTTCTGTACAGTAAAATTCTATGATTGTAAAAGCACATGTGAGCAAATATTCCATTCGAGACCAGTGACGGATTATCTGTCTCCTACAGTCAAACAGCCTATTGATTACCCCTCCTCAGGCTCATGCATAATGGATGCCCCCAGTCCAACTATTGTTGCCTTCAGAATTGAAGAACTGAAAAATTTCAGTCATTACAGTAAGCAGCATGAGAAACAGCAAAATGTGGCATCTCCTCCTTTTGCTTCAAGCAACGGAGAGGGGAGCTACATGTTAAATTGGAAGGAGATTGAGGGAAACGAAATGCTTCAATAAAACAACTTTTTTTTTGAGAATCAGCAGTTAAAAAGAAGGGGGCAGCAAATCTCAGGATTTTGCTTCAGAAATGTCCCAGGGCCACTCGCTGATACAAAGCCGTACTTGACCCAAAATGAAAACCGTGCAGATTGTTCCATCTCCCCGCCAGAACACCCTGTGCAGAAGTGAACAGACTTTCTTATGAATGATGGCACATACGAGGGAAGTGACTCACACGTACCATTTTTCTCTTCTTCAGATGAGTTCAGTGGAACAAAGCAGCGTGCCAATTTTTTTTTGTTTTGCAGTTTAGTCGAGTTGAATAGAGGAGAAACTATAACATAGAATCATAGGTTTATATTCCACCGGCCTGAAACATCTCCCGGAATCCAAACAAAGTCAGAAGGCTCACTGAGAATCTGAGTACACTGCCCCAAGCACTGACTGCTTGCTGGTTTATAAAATGAATAAACATTTTGCAGCAAAGGATGGAATGTCACATATAATAATTCCAGTGTTATTTCAAAGGCTTATAAAATGCTGTGACTAAAGCTGTTAACAGTGAACACTGTACTATAATCCAAGAAACAGCTGGGGCCCCAAGTCTATCACTTTATTAATCATGCATTTAGCTTCAATCCTGCACGCATAATTCCTTAGAGCATGCAGCTCGTGTTTCGTCGTTTGAATGCTTGTGGGTTTTTTTTAATATAGGCTGTGTAAGGGGGACTTAAGCAGTTTTTTTTTTAAATTCCCAGACTCGATTCTTCAGCATCATACAGTCCCTTACGAGAGAATGGGTTACAGTCGGACGTCACAGCCAATCACCAGCAGCCCGGTCTGTGTGGTGTATTGAAAAAAAACGGAGAGATGATGAGGCAGGGAGCCCAGAGCTGACTCACTTAAGGTTCTAACTTCCAGCAGCGGTTGTGTCTGCATGCAGCAGGCACTGAGCTGAAGAGTTCACTTCAAGCAGTCAATCAGCTGTCAGTCGCTGAGGCGAGGCTTCATATCCAAAAAAAAATCATGGATTTGGAATCTGGGGAATTGGGTGAAGGAGATCTCTCCTCAGGTAGGATGGTTAGCTTTTGCTCCACTTTTTGTATCATTTCCACGAAACCTTAAACCTGAAAAGGTGGCAGTGACCTGATGACGACCTGCGCCATTACCTGTTGCATGGTTATTATTTAGACCACAACGCGGACTGGATTAAATAGACATGCTGTGTTTTTCCCGTCCTTTGCTTCATCGAGTAAAATCCATATCACTGCCGTTTCTAACGTAACAGAAAAATACACTGAAAAATGCACACAGCTCTCTCAGAGGAAGCTTTCGCTGTGAAATTTCACTTCCTCTGTAGGCTATTATTTGTGTTTTTTTCTTCTCAACTTGTGATTAACATCTTACACAGTTCACGGCAAATGTCTTACAGCCAAGTCAAACATAGAATCTGCACAAATTGATCATAAGAAGAATCGGTCGGTATGTGTTGGGGGACTTCTAACAAAAAGAATAATGCTGACTTCTCCATTGAATTTCTGAGTTTGGAAGAACTCCCAATTCCTACAGTAGGAGAAGAAAACCTTATTTCTGTTTTTGCTGCTGCTGAACTCCCTTAATCAAAGAAAAAGCTGTTTAGCATCCGCATTAAGTATCCTTGTATCAAAAACCAATCTGGGCCTAAATGATGTTTCCCAATTCTTGAAAAGGGCAGTCAATTCACAAACAGAGCTTCAGAACAAAGCATCTGTATTGTCAAGCAGTCTACCTGCTCCTTTGCTGTAGGAAGTGATGGTCTCACTTTCTGGAAGATTGGTGAGGGCAGTAGGCAGGGAAAGTACCAGGAAGCACACACCACTAATGATTAATTAGTGTTTTTAGGAAATGTTGGGATCCGCTCCATTTGGCATTAATGTTCCAATGAAAATGTGCTGATTCCTTTTGGCAGGATTTCCTGCCTTGCTAATGAGTATTTGTTGCTCAGCGATTAACACTTGTTGTGCCGGGTCGATGTCAACTCAAGTTAACAATCTCAGCCATTTGTATTGTGATCACTGCTGTTTGTGCAGTCTTGGTCCACTGTAAACAAAACCAACATTCTGGGTACTAGATTTATACCAGCTGGAAGTCAGTGACAGAGCACTAATTGGTGTGAACACGCTGAGGTGAGTAAAATGCCACTTCCTGTCACACAAAATTGCAACGGCAATCCAACTCAAACACATGATCTTAAACTTCTGGCATAGGAGAAAGATCTTGACACACTTCCCCCTATACTTTTTGATTACCTGCTGGTCGCTCTGGACTTTTGCTGCTTAATGTGGATTTCCATTCGGCAAATTGAATGTGCATTTAAGGGGCCAGGCCCTTTCCCTTATTTTAATGAAAGCAATTCATTTATTTCAAACTCAGATTTGGAGTTGCACACTATCTTAGGTTAATGGTGCAGTGCATGAGCTGAATTTTGAAAATTTTATGTCACTTTCCTGTGTCTATCTTTTGCAGTATAAAGTTCCTTAAAATGTAGCTGATATGCAGCTGTACGTTCAACTGCCTGAGTAATTATCCCTGGAATTCCCCCTCTTCTTTAAGTCACTCTTTCAAATCTACCTCTCTGATCAAACTGCTGGCCTAGTGTCCTATTGTAGCTCTGTGTCAAATTCTTGTCTGATCACATTCCTATTGGGAAATTTTTAGCATCATTAAATAAATTGCAAGTTCTTGTTGACATGAGTTAGTGCAAATGCTGCAAAAGCCATCTCAACATAAGTACTTTGTGCCAGCTGGTATCAACAGACGATACAATTATTATTTACATTACTTGGAGGAACACTGCAATATTAAAGGATGATATCCATGTCCCATGAAATGGGAAATAAGCGCCATTTTTAAAAGTGGTGTCTTCTCCTGCTTTGCACCGCTCAAGTGGAATCTTGTTGAGGACTTGATGGGGGTTGCGGGGGGACGGGGTCTCACCTGGAGGTGGGGATCCAGTGAGATCCTTGCATCACCTCTTTTCAGGTATTTGCTGAACCATGGCTGCATTGTACAGTGGTAATGCCAGTGATGGGCTTTTCACCAGGATCATCAAGACACAGGGGGCAGAGGTTCTACCTACCACAAGCTGACAACCAACCAGAGGCCAGCCAGACTTGTGCTCAGCAGCGCTACTGGGAAGTGGTGGCAGCTCCTGGAATGACAAGCACCGCGGTCCCAGGGTCAAACCACGGTTAGGTACAGTGATACAAGTGGGAGTTGCATGGACAGCAGTGTAGAAGGGTCAGCAACAACGGCCCAATGTTGATTCCCTTGATGCCCCCACCCTCCCCGGGGGTTCGAGAAGTTGACAATCGGTATATGGTACATGACCCCCCTGGAGCAGCAGCAGGCCAAGGCTTTTAAGTGGTCTTTAATTGGGCGCTTGAAGGCCTCATTTGGTGGTGGAATAGAACATCAAGTATGATGGCTGGTGGCTGTGGGAGGGTGGTGGAGTTCACCACCCCACCTGCTTAAGTGCCCTTACTGTCCCCAAGCTCGCCACAAGAAATGGAGAGAAGATTTTACTCCATCTATCCTCAGGAAGGACATATAAACAAAAAAGAGACTTGCACTCATAGCACTTTTTAAGGCTCCAGAATGTCTTAAAGCTTTCTGCAGTCAATGTTGGTGTGTAATCATTGTTGTAATGTAGGAATCATGGCAGCTAACGTGTGCACATCAAGATCCCACATACAGCAATTTGGTAATGACTTAACAGTCTGCACTTGTGAAATTGGTGGAGGATTAAATATTGACCAGACTACTGGGGAGAATAGCCTGCTTTTCTTTTAAAAAAAAAGTGCCATGAGTTCATTAGGTGGATTGGCCATGCTAAATTGCCCACAGTGTACAGGGATGTGTAGGTTAGGTGGATTAGCCATGGGAAATGGAGGGTTACAGGGATAGGCCTGGGTGGGATGCTTTTCAAAAGGTCGGTGTGGACTCAATGGGTCTGATGGGCTCTTTCTGCACTGTAGGGGTTCTATGATTCTATGATTTTTGTGTGAATGGAAAGAGAGGGACTGAGCTTTATGTCTCAGCTGCAAGATACCACCTTCAATTCCACAACAGTCAGCCTCAATTTTGTGCTGCAGTCTCTGGGGTAGGACACAAACCTTCTGCCTCGGGGGTGAGCAGCAATCCACTGAACTATGGCTGATGCAAGTGAGTGATGTGATAGCACAGTTTCTGAACTGACATGGGTAAACAAGCTTTGCCTCACTTCCGATGCCATGAATGTTCCAAATCCACAGTGTGGTGCAAATGGAATTAATTCAGAAATGGTACAAAAGTTCTACAGTATGAATAGCAAGTGAGTACATTTTACTCCAGCTTCTAATCTGACCATGGCAAAATATAACTATTGTGAACGTAAAGCAGAGAAGTGTAATGACCAGAAGATATCAATCTATGCAATCAGCCAGACCACAATACAGATGGGTTCTGCAGGCTCGGATGTATTTTACTGCATCACATCACAGATGATTTGTTGCCCAGATCCCAGCTCCATTTCTGAGTATTTTTTCAGTTGTGGAAATGATAAATTCCAGCACTGAAGCATTCTGCCTATAAACCACACGTTTTATCTCTTTAAGTTTCCTGAGGATTACTTGTTCATAAATAAACTGTCCTGTTTCAGTGGAAACATCTGGAGCCATTGTTTGTAGCTGAATTGTGTTTAACTAACTGTGGTGCTGTGTAAATATTTTGTACATCATGAACTCATTTTGATGGATATGAGAGGACATTTTTGGGAGTGCAGCTGATTAAAATTTTATGTATCATAGAATCACCACAGTGTGGAAGCAGGCCATTTGGCCCATTGAGCCCATGTCAACCCTCTGAACAGCATTGTACCCAGACTCACTCTATTCCTACAACCTTGCATTTCCCATGGCTAATCCACCTAGCCTGCACATCCCTAGACACTATGGGCAATTCATCATGGCCAATCCACCCAAACTGCACATCGTTGGAATATTGGAGGAAATTCACACTGACAGGAGGAGAATGTGCAAACTCCACACAGACAGTAACCCAAGGGTGGAATCAAACCTTGGCCCCTAGCATTGTGAGGCAGCAGTGCTAACCATTGAGCCACCTTGCCACCCATAGATACTTGTACCATTTTCATTTTGGCAAGAACATAAGCTAGTGAAACATTGACCAAGATCAGAAGGGAGAAACGCATACGGAGGGTCTTCGCAGCCCAAGATGAACCCAGTGCTTTGCCCCCTTACAGTATCTAATTTGTTCTTAGAATTCTTAGGTTGTCATTGTGATTTATGTCATTGCAATGAATAGGTGCCAGCCTTTCTCTGTTAACAGCTTTCTTGTCTCAGGGTTAAGGTGTTGATTCCCACACCAGAACTTGAGCTCAGAGTCCAAAGCCACATTCAGAGAGTGTGAGGTTGCCAGAAGTGCTGACTGTTCTCTTTGGAGCGAAGAAAGCTAAGAGAAGAGAAGGGCTGCATCGACGAGCTAGGGAGAAACTGTTCTTGCTCTGAAAAGAAAAAAAAAAGGGCACTGACTTAAATTGATTTGCAAAAGGAGCAAATGTAATGTGAGAAAACACTTTTTCACAGTGCAAGTAGTTAGGGTCTGGAATGCACTGCTTAGATGTGTGGTGGAGGCAGACTCAATTGAGACATTCAAGAGGGCATTGAGCATTTATTTGGATAGAAATAATGTGCAATGATATGGGGGAAAGCAGATTGGCAGTAGTTCATGAAGTTCATTTGAAGAGTCTGTCCAGGCATGAAGGGCCGAATGGCCTTCTTCTCTGCCATAACTCTTCTGTGAATAATTCTGAGTCCTGTCCCGACAGATGGCATATAAAAGCTGCTTTTATATTTCACCCAAGCAACATGAGGGTAAAGTTGCCAATAGAAATGGGCTTCCTTTTTCTAACTCTGGCACACTTACACTGCTGTTGCTGTCGAATCTGTGAGGCTCATCTGCCATTGGCATTAGTGTGCCCTTGTGCGGAATATCAAAGCAGCTAAAGATCCCAATTTGAAGAAACTCTTCCAA